CCCCCCCCCGACTGGGGATTGAGCCCGAAACCCGGGCATGTGCCCTGACCGGGAATCCAACCCCGATCGCCTGGATCCTAGGTCGATGCTCAACCGCTGAGCCACGCCCGGTCGGGCTAACTGACATATATTTAATGTGAAATCTTATAAATACTAAGTGACCAATAAATATTTTTTATATTTATCTGTATAGCATTGAAAAAAAGAAATATCTCCATTTAAAAAAAGAAACCCACAAAGAACAACTGGGCCCAAGTCCTTCATAAAGTTGTACATCTGTGACTATGCTTTCAGTTTCTTCTAAGATTATTTAATTATTTTTTCACTTCATCTTTAGTCAATCTTAATCATTGATATTCTAGAAAAGGTTAGATGTTATAAATAAATACTCTTGATACTTATTTGGCCTTTCTGCTTCCTAAGCCTTTCTGCATATTTGCCTTTTCCCCTCAGATTAGACTTTTCAAAAGTTTGTCTACTTTACTTCTCAATGAATGATTTCTTATGTTTTACTTTTATTTTAAATAATTTGATAACTTATACAATTTCCTCTATTTTCCTTAGGTTTACTTTACTTTTCTAGTTTTCTAAATATCCTTTCACTTACTTTCAGTCTTTTCTAAGAAGTTTAAAACTCTAAATTAGCATCAGAACTTAAATATTGATTCATAATGATTTCATTGTTATTTATTTCTAAACAGTTTTTCTCTCTTGATTTCATTTTTTGTTGTAAAATATCCATAACAAAATTTAATAATTTTAACCATTTTTATTTAATTAACATTTTTACTGATTTTAGAGAGAGAGGAAGGAAGAAGGAGAGAGACAGAAACATTGATGTGAGAAAGAAACATCAATCAACTGCCCCCAGATGCAACCCAACCTGGGATTCAGCCCACAACCTGGGCATGTGCCCTTACTGGGAATTGAACCGGTGAACTTTTGGTGCACAGAATGACGCTCAGCCAACTGGCCAGGGCTAAACATTTTTAAATGTACAGGTCACTGACACTTGACATGAAGCACAATGACACTGCTGTGTGACCACCCTGACTCTCTTCTTTACAGAACTTTTTCATCTTCCTCAACTGAAACACAGTACTCATTAAATAATAACTCCCTATTTCCACCGCAACCCCTAGCAACTATCATTCTACTTCCTGTCTCTATGAATCTGACAAGCCTAGGTACCTCATAATAGTGCAATCATATTTGTTCTTTTGTGGTGAAAACAGGAATCCTTTCCTTGTTGCTGCTCTTAGAGGAAAAATTTTTAATCTTCCACCACTGAGTATGATGATAGCTGTGGGTTTTTCATAAATGGCATTTATTATGTTGAGATAGTTTCCTTCTATTCAGAGTTTGCTGAGTGTTTTTATCATGAAAGGTGTTAAATTTTGTCAAAAGCCTTCCCTGCATCAACTGAGATGATCAATCANGTTGCTGCTCTTAGAGGAAAAATTTTTAATCTTCCACCACTGAGTATGATGATAGCTGTGGGTTTTTCATAAATGGCATTTATTATGTTGAGATAGTTTCCTTCTATTCAGAGTTTGCTGAGTGTTTTTATCATGAAAGGTGTTAAATTTTGTCAAAAGCCTTCCCTGCATCAACTGAGATGATCATGTTAATGTGACGTATTTCACTGATTGATTTTATAGAATGTCAAACCATCCTAGCATTCCAGGAATAAGTCTAACTTGCTTATGATGTGTCATTGTTTTAATATGCTGCTTAATTTCAGTTTTCTAGTATTTTATTAAGGATTTTTGCATAAATATTCATAAAAAATACTGGTTGGTAGTTTTATTTTTTTGTAGTATCTTTGCCTACTTTTGGGATCAGAGTAATGCTTACTTTACAGTATAAGTTAGGATGAGTTCTCTCTTCTTTAATACTTTGGAAGACTTTGAGAAAACCTGGTGTTAATTCTTTTTGAATGTTTGGTAGAATTTACAAGTGAAGCCATCTGGTCCTGGTCTTTTATTTATTGGGAGGTTTCTGATTACTGATTCAATCTCCATAGTCATTCATAGGTTTATTAAGATTTTTCTATTCATGATTCAGTCCTGATAGGCTTCTGGGGTTTTTCCATTTCATCTAGGCTATCCAATTTGTTGGCATACAATTATCCATGAGTAGTTTCCTAAAACCTTTTACTTCTATTTCTGCAAAAACATTATTGAAATTTGGATAGGAATTGCATTGAATTTGTAGATAGTCTTGAACAGTATTGATCAACATCTTAACAACACTAAGTCTTTCAATTCATGAACACAGGATGCTTTTCCATTTATTTGCTTCTTTCTTTCAGCAATGTTATTTAGTTTTCAGTGTACAAGTCTTTCATTTCCTTGGTTAAATTTATTCCTGTTTTTTTTTCCTTTGGATGCTATTGTCAAATAACATTGTTTCCTTAATTTTCTTTTCAGATTGTTCATTGCTACTGTATGAAAATACAATTAATTTTTGCATGATGGCTTTGTATCCTACAACTTTTATGAATCAATTTATTGGCTCTAACATTTTTTTAAAAATGTGGAATCTTCAGGGTTTTCTACATATTAGACCATGTCATCTGTAAACAGAGATAATTTTTTCTCTTCCTTTCCATCTTGGACACCTTTAATTTCTTTTTCTTACTTAATTGCTCTGGCTAGAACTTCCAGTACTATGCAGAAGAGAACTGATGAAAGCAGGCATCTTCGCCTTGTTCCTAATCTTAAAGTGTTCATTCCTTCGCCATTGATTATAAAGTCAGCTGTACATTTTTCATAAAAGAGCTTCATTATGTTGAGATAGTTTCCTCCTATCCCTAGTTTGAGTGTTTTTATCATGAAAATATGTTCAACTTTGTCAAATATACTTCCTGCATCAATTAAATGCTCATGTGTTTTTCCCTTCATTCTGTTAATTTAGCATATTACACGGATTGAATTTTGCATGTCAAACCAGGAATAAATCCCACTTGGTTAAGGTGCATCATTCTTTTAATATGCAGTTGAATTTGGTTTGCTAGTAATTTTTTGAGGATTTTTGCATCAATATCTATAAAAAATATTGGTTAGTAGTTTTCTTTGTGTATAGGTCTCTGTCTGGCTTTGATATCAATGAAATGTTGGTCTCAGAATAAATTAGGAAGTATTCCTTCTTCCAATTTTTGGATGAGTTTGAAAAAGATTGGCATTAATGTTCTTTAAATGTTTAGCAGAATTCACCAGTGGAGCCATCTTGTCCTAGGCTTTTGTTTGTTGGCAGTTTTGATTACTGACTGAATCTTTTATTAGCTGTAGATCAATTCATATTTTTTATTTCTTTATGATTAAGTCTTCATAGGTTGCATGTTTCTAAGAATTTATCCATTTCTCTAGTTACACAACTTCTTGGTGTATAATTATTTATAGTGCTGTGTTTAAAATTCTTTTTATTTCAGTAAAGTCAGTAGTAATGTCCCTCTTTTCATTTCTGATTTTAGTTATTTAAATATTCTTTTTTTTCTATTTGGCTAAAGATTTGTCAAGTTTGTCCATCTTTTTGAAAAAATAACTCTTGGTTTTTGTTGATTTTTCTATTGTTTTTTAGTCTCTATTTTGTTGATCTCTTCTCTAATCTTTATTATTTCCTTCATGTTGTTACCTTTGAGTTTAGCTTGTTTTTCTTTTTTGAAAATATGTTTTTTAATTGATTTTAGAGAGAGAGGGAGGGAGAGAGAGAAAAACATTGATGTGAGAAACAAACATTGATCTGCTGCCTCCTGCACGCTCCCTACCACGGATCAAGCCCTCAACCTGGGCATGTGCCCTGACTGGGAATCGAACTGGCAATCTCCTGGTTCATGGGATGATGCTCAACCAACTGAGCCACACTGGCTAGGGCAGTTTGTTTTTATTTTTCTAGTTTCTTAAGGTACTAGGTTAGATTGTTGATTTGAGACCTTTCTTCTTTTCTAATGTAAGTATTTACAGCTATAAATATCCCTTAGCACTGCTTTTGCTGCATTCCATAACTTTCTACATGTTGTATTTAAATTGTTTCAAGATATTTTCTAATTTCCTTTGTAATTTCTTTTTGGCCCACTGGTTGTTCTAGAGTGGGTTGTTCAACATATCTCTGAATTTTCTTATGTTTCTTCTGCCACTGATTTCATTTTCATTCTGATTCGAAAAGAAATTGTATGAGTCCAATCATTATAAACCTATTAAGACTGCCCTGGCTGTGTCACTCAGTTGGCTGGAGTGTTGTCCTGTACACCAAAAGGTTGCGGGTTATATGCCCGGTTGGGGAGTGTACGGGAGGCAACTGATGGATGTTTCTCCCCGCCCCCCCCCAAAAAAAATCAATAAAAACATCCTCAGGTGAGGATTAAATTTATTAAGACTTGTTTTGTGGTCTAACATATGGTCTATTGTGGAAAATGTTCCATCGGTACTTGAGAAAAATGTGTGTTCTGCTTTTGCTGTGAGGATAGCTCTATATGTCTGTCAGGTCCCACTGTCTAAGTGTTGCTAAAGTCCTCTGTTTCCTTACTGATCTTCTGGCAGGAAGCTCTATCCTTTAGTGAAAGTGAGGTATTGAAGTCTCCTACTATTACTGTGGAGCCAGCTTTTCTTCTTTTAATACTGTCAGTTTTTGCTTTACATATTTTGGAGCTCACATGTTTGGTGCATTTATGTTTATAATTGTTATAGCTTCTTGGTGAACTGAATCTTTTTTCATTGTATAATATTGATATTTGTCTCTTACAACAGGTTTCAACTTAAAGTCTCCTTTGTCTGATATTACTGTAACTACCCCTAACTCTTTTTGTTATTCTTTCCATAAAATACCACCCCCTTTTTATTGTTGACAGTATGACAGATGCCCCCCATTTTCCCCTCCTTTGCCCCCCTCCACCCAGCCTCACCCCAGACGTTCCCCACACTATTGTCTGCGTGAAATACCTTTTTTTTATCCTTTCACTTCCAAACTATGTATGTCTGCAGACCCATGAGAGTCTTATAGGCAGCATATAGTTGGATACTGTTTTTAATCCATTTTGCCAATCTACGTTTCTTGATTGAGGAGTTTAATCCATTTACATTTAAAGTGATTAGTGATGAAGAAGGAGCTACTTCTGCCATTTTGTTCTCGGTGTCCCTTGTAGATACTTCATCCTTCATCGCATCCATTACTGGCTTCCTTTGTCATTACCTGATTTTTGTGTGTGACATATTTTGATTTCTTTCTCATTTCCTTTTGTGTATACCGTATACATATTTGTGGCTACCAGGCAGATTACATATAACATCCAAAAGTTATAACAATCTATTTTAAATTGATACCAACTTAACTTCAGTTGTATTTTAAAAACCTCCTTTACAGCTCTGCCCCCCACTTTTATGTTATTGATGTCACAAATTATTGCTTTATGTATCATCTATCCATTAACACAAATTTCTGTGCTGATAAACTGTTTAATTTTTTTGTCTTTGTTTTTATAGATAATTTTATCTCTCTCCCACTCTGGCATCTTTTAGCCCGCCCTTCTCTTTGTTTTTGGAACTTAGAAATATCACAAAATGTATCTATATACATTTTCTCTCCTGCCCAAGTCATTATTTATGTTCTAAATATTTCTTTCTTTCTCTGTTCTCTATTGTCCACTTTGGATTGTGGTTTTACTCTACTGGTTTCTTGATCATGCATCTTCTGTTTTCTTTTTCTATTGCAGGAGTTTCTCAAAACTTCTAATCTACTAATAGTGACCTTTCCTATTTTCCTGAAGCATTGTGGACTTATTCTTTCTTCTTAAATCAATTCTGACATAATAATGAGATTGTGAGATGAATGGAAAATAAATAGCTATTATCAGCCTGCCAGTTGGATTCAGAAATTCATGGTTATCTGAAATAGAAGGGGTTTTTTTACAAGATTTTCCCTATCTCTTAATCACAGCCACATGATAAGCAACCTAAACAATTCAGAAAAGTGTTTAGGTTAAAAGTATTTGCTAGTCACTTTACATTTTGTCAGTATTATACCTGTCAATGGCTTGAAGATCATTGGCTGGATTCCAAGTAGGATCAAATAATACAACAACATTGGCACCAACAAAATTGAGGCCTAGTCCACCAGCCCTGGAGGAAAGAAAAAGAACATATTAAAATAGCAAAAAAAATAATTGTTATTCTATAACTCAATTATGCTAGATTTCTATAACCAAATCAACACAATATTGCATTCACATTATAAAAGTAAGGTGATTGAAACACAAATATACCACAAATGAAATAACTATGAAATGTTTTTCTATCAATCTAGAATATCCCTAAAAAATTTGACCATTAGAGTCCATATAAGTAGACTATGCTGCTTTATACTCAAATGTTATTTCTGTAAAATTTTCCTAATATAATTAAAAAAAATTTTTTTTAAATCCTCACCTGAGGACATTTTGTTATTGCTCTTCAGAAAGAGTGGGAGAAAGAGAGAAAGAGAGAGAGAAACCTTGATGTTAGAGAGGCACATCAACCAGTTGCCTCTAGCACATGCCCCGACTGGGGCGGGGATCTAGCCTGCCACTGAGGCTGGATTCAAACCCAGGACCCTTCAGTCCGAGGGCCGATGCTCTAACCACTGAGCAAAACTGGCTAGGGCTTCCTAACATAATTTTAAAAAACTGTTAGTACATAACAGCTAAGTAAAGTAACACACACATTTAAAAAATCAAGCCAGGAATAGATAGACTTCGCCTATTCCTCCCACTAAGTGCAGCTAAATGAAAACCCTGAATATTATATATAAAATAAACATAAGACAGTGAAAGGTAAAGAGAATGCAGACTGACTAGGAACTACAAGACATGAGGAGTGACATGGCAGTGAGTTTCATGGCTTTTTTTTCTGCCTAATATGTTCCACACAGGGTTCTAGAGAAGCTAGTGAACTGGATGCCAACTGTCACAGACAAAAAAAGTCCCAAGTAAATCCTTCTTCCTTTAGCTAAAGAACCAGGAAAGATGTAGCCTTTAAAGACAGAAAAATGTTAGATAATTCCTGCCTATTATTAGCCTATTCCTGCAAGCACCACAGAAAAAAAATCTGTGGCCCTACCCTCAACCTGGTCAGTAAAGGCTACATGAAGAGACTAAACATCCACTCTTGCTTGAATGTAATGAGGTACCTTTAACCCCTGCTGGGGGTTAAAGAAGTGTCAGAGAAGATCGATTACGGAGGTGGGACTTTCGTTTCTCTCCAGTGACAACCAGGTCCCCCTCTGTGGTATCAGTGGAGGTCATCCAGAAATAGTAATGAAACACCTCATTCTCAGGATGTCAACAGAGGTTAAGTAGAAAACATGGATTTCCATCCCTATGTGTCTGGCACAGAGTCTGGATAAAACAGATTTAAATAAGATATAAAGTGTTGTAACATAATACTAAAGAAATCTAGCATATATTAAAAAACTACTAGTCATACAAAGATCCATTAAAATCTCAACTTGAATGAGAAAAGAAAATCAACAGATGGCACAGTGAATCAGATGTTGGAATTGTCTGACAAGAATTTTAATGCAATCATAATACAAATGCTTTGATGAATAATTATAAATATACTTGAAACAAACTAAAAATAGAGAGCCTCAGCAAAGAAAGAGGATATAAAGAAAAACCAAATGAAAATTTTAGAACTGAAAAATAACTGAATTATAAAACTTGCTGAAATGACTCAACAGTACAGTGGAAATGAAAGAGAATAGTATCAGAAACATGAGAACAGGTCAATATTAATTTACCTCACCTAGAACAACAGAAATAAAATATACTGAAAGAAAATGAACACAGTCTTAGAGACCAGAGGGACAATAACACTCATATCATCGTAGTCCCAGAATGAAAAAATATTTGAAGACATAGCTAAAAACTACCCAAATTTGGGAAAAGCCATAAACCTAGACTCAAGAAGTCATATGAACTCTAAAATGGATAAACCCAAAGCAATCCATGCCAAGACACGATAACAAAACTTCTGAAAAAAAAAAGACAAAAAATTCTTGAAAGCAATGAAATTATACACTACTTTTAGGGAAAACCAATTCAAATGACAGTGGATTTCTCATCAGAAACCATGGAGGCCGGGAAGAAGCAGTACAACATTTTTCAAGTGCTTAAAAAACTTGTAAATCCAGAATTCTATATCCAGCAAAAATATCCTTCAGGAATAAAAGGGAAATAATGACATTCTTCAATTAAGAAAAACTACGAAAATTTGTCACCAGCAGACTTAAGGGGGGGGGGGTGGCTCCATAAAAACTAAAAAGCCATCCAATATCAAATCTTGTCAAATTTAGCTCATAAATGTGTTTCTGTAGTTCCTTCTCCATTTCTATTTTCCTTGCCCTATTTCAAGCCTTCATTATATCACATCTGTGAGTATTATTTCATTGGCTTCTTAAATGTCTTCCATTATCTCAGACCTTAAATCCATTCCCCTCTTACTTAAAATTATTTTAAGCACAGAATATAGAAAACTAAGTATGCCACTTCTCTGTTTTAAATCCCTCAGTTCTTATCCATCAGAGACCAGCTCTTGTATTCTTGGATATTCTCATGGAACTACAAATACACTTAAAGTTGCCTTCATACACTACTTGCAATTTTCTTTGCTCTCTTCTTTGCCTGGCTAACTACTTGTTTTTCAGCATTGCTAAGGACGGATGAACTAAATATTTCTCCTTTGTGCCTCCTTCTATTGGCATTTAGCATAGTATATTGAAACCACCCTTTTACATAATTCTTAACAACTATTGCATCCATCTTCGTATTTTTTTAGTTATAAACTTTAAAAAGAGCTGGGTATGAACCTTTTACATCTTTTCTTCTTCAGGGCCTGTCACAGAACACTCAATATGGTTTTTGTTAAATTAACAAATGATTCCTCCTATTTAGTCACATACCCAGCTCTTCCCTCCAATGCACACTAAGCTCTAACCACTTAAATTCCTTGGTCATTTTTGTACCTATGCTGTTATCTCTACCTATAATGCCCTTTATGTAAACCTGCTTTTCCTCCTAATGAAATCTTATCTATAAGGGGGCAGTTTAAACATCACCATCCTTTTATGGTCTTTTTTGATATGCCTACTCTTTAAATGCTCATGGAACTTTATACATAACTTCAGTAAAGCACTTATTGCTCATAATGCTCCTCGGAGGGGAAAAAATCTGTTCTTTTTCTTATCCTACATTAAATAAGGGTCAATGAAGACAACTGAATTGAACAGAGGGGTGTGAGACAAAACAAAATAAAGAATTAGAGACAGATTTTTATAATAGGTATATAATATGATTCTAATGACTTACTGAAAGAGTGGTTTAGAATCTCTTTCTTTTGGGACATAAAACAAAAGAAATGCTCCCATCTTTCTGAGATGGTTTTTTGGAATGAAGTTAAGAGAAATACAAAATTATTTTGCTCAACAGCATTTCAAACTATGATTCATGGGACTGTAATAATTAGGGGCACCTAAATATTGCCTGACAAACCCAAAGTATCCTCACTTTTTAAAGTTAAGTGTCCAATAGAAAATGAATTATATCCTTTGGAAAATTACTTATAGAGGTGATAGCATAAAGATATCACAGAGACTTGAACTTGAAGAAAAGAGTGAGTTGGGATAGGGAGAAAGTTTTGGAAAGAATAAAAAAATGCCCCGGCCGGGCATGGCTCAGCGGTTGAGCGTCGACCTAGGATCCAGGCGATCGAGGTTCGATTCCCGGTCAGGACACATGCCCAGGTTGTGGGCTCAGCCAATGACTCTCTCATCATTGATGTTTCTATCTCTCTCTCTCCCTCTCCTTTCCTGTCTCTGAAATCAATAAAGGTATATTAA